GTGTATATATGGAAATGATGTAATTTGGGAGATGCATTTTTTGGGAGTGGAAGAGGAGGCATCTTACACATGGGCAGAAATCTCAGCAAGGGCCATGACTTAGGAAAGCAGGGAATGGAAGGAGACCAATAAGAAAAGTGTAACAGGGGGGTGGGCGTGTTTGTAGCTTTGACTCAGGCAGTGCAAAGGCAATTTATGTGACCAGTGTTTGTACCCCTGTAATATTCTGAAATTAAAAAAAAATAATGTGCCAGCTGCAGGAGGGGCATTAGCAGGGAAGCCTGCCCAACAGAACTGATGGACTAATCTGAAGGACAAGTAGGAGCAGCTCAGGAGAAGAAAGGCTTGGGATGATGGGATGGGATGGGAAGCAGTAGGCAGCGTGGCAGAGGAGGGTTTAAGAAGGTGAAAGTTAACGTGGGCATGTGCAGCTATGTGGGTTCAAGGCTTTGCGGAGTCAGGATGAAGAAAGGGGCAGGCTTCTGAGACATCATTCAGCCAGTGCCTCCTCTCACACACTCTACCCTGTCCTCCAGCAGAATGGGTGCCACTAACACAAATGTTCTGGGCCAAGAATCCCAAAAGGCCATCTCACAGAACTTAACCAAGAAATATCACTGAGAAGAGAAGAATAGAAGCTGACTGTGGCTGAGGAGATGGTGTGAACTAAGAAATCAAGATGGGGCAGGTTTATCCCGGGCATGGAAGAATATAGGGAGAGCGGAGGATGAGAGTATGTTCTAGGTACCGGTATCCTATAAGATTTCTTCTGCAGATGTCAGCTTAGATCACTCATGATAATGCTGCATTTTCTAACAAGATTAATTCCAGCACAGCCTTAATTTCCTATAACATAGAAGTCAAAGTTTCTAAACTTTTATAGCTAGCTTGCAGAGGATGAGTAAGGCAAAAACTGCTAGTGAGTTCACTACTTGAAATTACCTATTTATCACAGATAGACCACTGGTTTCCTAAGGCACACATTATATCCAATTTTACATGTAACTTTAATCTGGTGTTAATGATAGGGCACCATGCATAATGTTGCTTTTATAATATTTATGTAAAATTCTGATAATTGCAATGAACGTTGATTGTAATTTAGAAAATTAGTTATAATGGTTATATATGATATGCATGTTAGTAAAATGCCTTTTCTTTTAAAAGCAAGCTAATGGCTAAATTATTAAAGGTTGAATCAAAATCAAATTCAAACTAAGCTATTCCAGTTATTTTTCTCAATTGATTAGCTACCCTGGAAAGTCGCTAGAAAACAGAAATGGTTAGGGAATGAACACATTTTGAGTAGCAATAGCATATTGGGAGGGATAGTAGAGAGACCATCTGATTCTATAATAAAGAAAAATGGAAGTTTTCCACTTAATTTGCTTAAACTTGAAGGGCAGAATGAATAAGACAGGAGGGGCCTGGGATCTAGATATGATGGATCTAATTTCCATTTTGCCACCAAGGGGCTGTGAGACCGTGAGATAAGTATTTAGACCCTCTGCGCCTTAGTGTTCATATCTGTAAAATGTCAGCAACCAAAGCTACTTTATAGGATAATGTAAGAATGAAAAAGTCATAATGTCAGTAAAGGGCTTGGCTCTGTGCCTGGCACCAAATATGTGCTCAGTATTTGTTAGATGTTAACTATAACAGTTATTATTTGGGGGATTTTTCTAACAAAGCCAATTAATAATGACATTAATCATCTTATTACTCAGTAATGCAACTACCTACAAACGCATCATTATAAACCATCGTGGTCTTTGATTGGCAGGTGATGTCCCTGGCATAATGATCAGCACTGAGGCACTCAGTAAAAGTTTGGTAGATGAATAAAGTTCGCAACTGAACAAGTACAGGTCAAATCTCTCTGCCTTTTTCTTTCCTGTGCCTCAATAATAAGAAAATGGAAACCAAAATTCAATACAGACCTCCACCCGTCATCATTTTTGTGCATTAGAGGACAAAGGTAACCTCTATGCACAAGGTAATTGTATGAAGTACTCTTTGAGAGTTGTTGTCATCATTATTATTTTAAGATTGCCACTTTCTGCTTGAGACATTTCAATTACCACTCAAAAAAATGTGGAGCAAAACCATATAAGCCACATTGAGTTTCCCATTTTTCTTTTGCACAAAATAGTCATTCCTGTTTTGAAATTACTGTTTACTGGTATCATCCCACAAGATAGAAAGGGTTGACCAAAGTCCATAGCTATCTTTTAATGTAAGTAGTTTCAGGATATATGTAATAATATTTAAGGGGAAGGTATGAATTAGGCGTCAGCATGTGAATTGAGATACTTTTGTTCACAAACATTAGAAAATCATACACTAAGTGACAAAAAGAATATGATAACTTCATTGGCTCACAGGAACAAAAAGTCCAGAGATACAGCTGGCTACAGCCTAAGGGCGAGACCATTTATGGTTGCAAGAAGAGGCCAGTAGCTCCTGTTGAACAGTCAAGGGAGATCATCTGTGTCCCAGCATTCCTAGTAGGAGTTTGAGAGTCCAGAGAATCACTCTTAGAATTGGACTAGGTTTGGTCACATGCCAACCACAGATCCAGTTGTCTTGGCCAAAGGGATAAAATGTGCTTCTTGACTTTGCCCAGATCATGGCTCCATCACTAGAGCCAGAGATGGAGTGAGCTTCTGCAGAACAGCACGGATCACCAGATGGAATTTTGGAGCCCACTGGAGAGGAAAAAGACAAAAGTCCACACTTGACTTAAAAGTGCTATTTTTAAATCTCCCCTTGTGACTGGTCTGTTTTGTTTGGTGGTGAGGCTGATGCCAATAATGACTCCAGTAGGCCAGTGGTTTTCAAAGTGTGATCTCTGGAAGCAACATAGGCATCTCCTTGGAACTTCTTGACATATGAATTCCCACCACCCCCTCAACCTAATGCATCAAAACTCTGGGGCTGGGGCTCAGCAACCTGTGTATTAGCAAGCCCTCCAGGTGATTGTGATGTATGTTAAATTTTGAGAGCTAATACTCCAAGCATGTTTTCAAAGACCTTGTATCCAGCTCCCCTTTCAATTAATGGCATATAACTACTACTTTGTGAATTAAAGAAAAAAATAGGGTTTACACTGATAACCACCAGCCTAATCTAGTCTTTCCAAATTGTTCAGCCTCGAATCTTCCTCTAACAAGGGTCTGTGCTCTGCAATGACTATTTTACACACTCTTAAGAAGGCAAAGATTTTTAAGTTGCACAATTTTAGTTGTGCAAGATGTATACTGCACAACTCCAAAGGGTGTCATTAGCTCTTAATTTTACCGTATTACATATTGCAGCTATATAGAGAGTTTCCTCCTTCTCTCTCCTCAAACCTTCAATTCTATCCTTTTCTACCAAGCTCTTCACTCCCAAGTAGCTGACACTCACAAAAGCTATCAGATGCAAACTCACTCATCTTCCCAGCTGTAAATCAGCGACTGGCTTCTGCACCATATCCTCCTCCCTCT